CGGACTAAGTACAGCGATCTGGAGTTCGGGCTCGGTAGTGAGTTTGGACTTGCTTCCGATGTTCGCTTTGGGTGCTCTACTGTCCCGAGCTGCTTGCCTTTGCCACGTGTCGGGCGATCGCGAGGTCGGGCCAAATTTCCCTTCATCAATTAATATATTTAATTGAGTGAACGAGTGGTTTAGTGTTTGAGTGGGGATATTGTTGGGTTATGTCTTGTTTTTCTTGTACTCCCTTCCTTGAAATGTTTCTTACTGCAACTCCACAGATGGTAAGCTCTGAATCATGACTACTCATACATAAAGGAGTAAAGGATTCCCATTGTCTCTATTGGAAACTAAACACTAAGCAATCAATTACAAAATTTGATTAGATACTAGATTTTGTATGGTGTTCACAATGTCATGAGGACTCTGAGTACCATCAACCTTGATTATCCCCTCACTGGGATCAATATCAAGCAAGTCCAATTGAGACTGCAAGAGCGAAGCAGGCATGAAGTGTTTCCCTTCCTTGGCCCTTGCATTGATCCGAACTGCAAGCACCCCGGCCGGAGCATCCAGCAAAACGAACTTCACACAACAAGCATAACTTCCCACTTCATAACTTTCATCAGCCATTCTGAGAATTTCCCTGTAGTTCTTTTGCAAAGCTGAGCACGCAAGGATTGTGGTTTTGCCACTGTTTATGCTATCTCTGAGAGTGTCGCGTAGTTTCTCAAGCCATGGCACCCGGTCTTCCTCTGATAATGGTATCCCCTTGCTCATCTTTTCTGTATGATTGTCCAGATCAGTGTTATAAGAACTTTAGGCTCAGTTAAGAAGCACAAATATAAATATATATATATATATATATATATATATATATATATTATAAAATTACATACAAAATACAAGGTTTTGCACTCTACATATTTGTATTTGTGCTTCTTCCAAACTAAGTTTTAGAGATCATAATTGTTCAACGAATTCAAATTCATAAGGACATGAGTACCTTTATTTGATTGTGGATGGAAGTCATCAGCATCCAGAAAAACACAATTCATGGCCTTGCTCAGCATCTCCCCTATGGTTCTGTTAAAACAAAATGGACAAGAACATGAGACAGAGAGAGAGAGAGAGGAGGGGTGAATTGAAGAGAGTCCAGCCAGGTCAGTTGAGCAAAAGCTCAAACAAATTGCAGCCAAGGTGGGAATTCATTAGTCAGATGATCAGTTGGAAGGTAGGGAGTAGGGAGTGGCCTCGAATGATGATCCGCCACAGAACCAAATCATGAAATCAACCACCACCATCACCAAAAAAGACACAGGGGAAGTGAGTGGGGTGGCGGCCAGGTTGAGTCCACTCAGGCTGATTCGATCGGTACAGAGAGAAGAGGACTCAGCCTAATACGACACGAAACTGGGTTGTGAACCCATTGTTTAGAAATCGTGAGCTCAAAAGATCAGTGGAATGGCTTGAATCATCAGCGTCTTGCTTCTGAATTCTCACAACCATTTTTTTTTTTTTCTTATAGTGCTGAGAGTGTGAGACCTACTGAATGATTGATGGGTCCTGGCCGGACGATGCCCCAATACAATTACATTCAGACTAGAAACTAAAAGAAAAGGAAAGAGAAGATTTTGTTGGATGGAATTAAGGCCTTACGATTTTCCGGATCCACTAACACCAATGATCACAATAACTAATCCTGCAATTTATACATAGAGCAACAAAAACAAACATAAACATAAATAAACGTCAAATCCATCCAGGAAAAAGTTCAAATGTACGAAAAAACGGAAAAAGATCACAAAATCACTTACCTTTGGGATCTGGAGCCATGGATATGGGGATGGAGGTAGAGTTGATGAGATATCGCTGCAAATTTTCCCAGAAGAGAGAGAAACAAGATCACAAAATCACCACTGCGTTGCTAAATTGTATGAAGGGGATGGCGCGGTTTGTCATTTGTCGACTCACGTAGTCACGTACCTGGGATTCAATTTTCAAATCATAAAATAAATCGGGAAATTTATGGGTTTTTTTTTTCGATTAAACGGGATAGAAATTTATGGTTTACTCCTATCAAAAACGTGCTTTTTTCTTTTTTTTGTCAGCAAAACATGTGAGTAATTGTTTTATTTCCTAGTCATAATAGACACAAATCTACACGCCACTCTTTCCAATCCAACCATAATACAGCATCAAATGGCAATGCTTGTATTTTGCACGAATGCCAAAGATTTCTGATCGTCATCAAATAATTTGGTTAATTGTCTCTCTCTCTCTCTCTGGAAATTCTTGAGTCTTGACAAAATTTCTGGTTGGGGAATCAAGCGGTGAAGATCCAATGAGAATGCAATTTCCTTTTTTTTTTTTGGCTGCCAGAGAATGCATTTTCCCGACCAGGCCGTCCATCACTCTTTTTAAGTCCTAACCCAACTTAATGGCGTGGCGTGCGTTACCTTCTTACTACTTATCAAAAGTCAAATTGTCGCCTTACTCAACCAAAACCGAAAAATCAATTCGAATCAAGAAAAATCTAACCGAAAAAATCTAGCTAATGAAAGATCTCAGTTTTGGTTTGGTGCTTTTCAAAAACCAGTAGTATCGTGGAGTTGAGGAATCATACCAATCAATTGAATAAAGTTTAAACAAATAGTTTTGATCCAAATTCGACCTTTGGCTTTTCAAAAATTAATGGCACCAGTTCGATTTCAAAAAAGAACCCACGGTTAGGGTTTAGTCTTTCTCTATTCGTTAAACAAATAATTTTGATACAAATTCGAACATTGGTTTTTCAAAAATTAATGATACCAGTTCAATTTCAAAAAAGAACCCACAGCTAAGGTTTAGTCTTTCTTTGCGTTTACATCTGATAGTGTTTTACCTTATACTGCTCGTTGCTCCTTTTTGCACCTTGTGCATGCAACAATGAGCAGAGCGATGGCCCGCTTGCGACATTGCATTGGCTGTAATTTTAGAAAAATTCATTTTTCAACTTTTGGAAAAGGCTCAATATCGTAAAAGACCTGTTCTCTGGATGCGTAAGCGCACACCCGTCTCGACTGACCTCGATTGTGACTGATGATGCACGTGAATCATTTCTCGAAAGACAGTAGGCCCTCCAATCTGACCATCTTCTGCAACACTCATTTAAGATCAAGTGAAACACTCTTTTAAGATCAGGTGGGTGTTTAGCATTGGTGTGTTTTCCAAGCATTCCGTTTTACTTTTACAGATGGGACCCAATTTATAAGTGTTTCATTTTATCAAGTTTTTTTTTATGGTTTTTAGCATATAAGTGTACTTTTGGGGTTTAATATCAATAAAAGTAATATATTTAAAAAATTTTCAAAAATAAATTAACTTTTTAAAAATAATATCAATAAAGGGCAAAAACACTATTCATCTTCACTAGAGCCGTCGTCTGCCGCCACCCGCTACCACCCCCTCTACCTCCGGCAATGTTGCCGGAGGTGGCCGGAGGCAGAGGTGGTGGTGGCGGCATTGGTGGTCATTCCTTTGCCCGTCACCACTGCCACCTCTGTCTCCACCCATCTCCGTCAACATTGTCGGAGGTAGAGGCGGAAGTGGCGGCATTGGACAAAGAAACCACCAACGCCGTCACCGCCACCTCTGCCTCCACCCATCTCTGGCAACGTTGCCAGAGATTTGCCAGAGATGGGTGGAGACAGAGGTGGCAATGGCGGCAGGCAGAGGAATGACCACCAACGCCGCCGCCGCCACCTCCGGCAACGTTGCCGGAGGCGGAGGCAGAAGTGGGCAAAGGCAGCGGCAGGCGATAGCGAACGACAGTGGCGAGGAGCGGCAGACGGCGACTCTGGTAAATAAATGAGAAGAAAAAGAAGATGATGAACAGTGTTTTTGCCCTTTATTAATATTATTTTTAAAAAGTTAACCTATTTTTAATTTTTTTAAATATATTACCTTTATTGATATTAAACCCCAAAAGTTGCCCTTATATGCTATTACCCCTTTTTTTAACACAAAATAAATATATATATAAATTGATTGGGCATTTAAAGTGATTTGACTTAATATTATAATATATTTATAATGACAACTGTGTGACATCTCAAAAAAGTAATCAACCTTATTAAATTTTACGTGCCATGTCATTCAGGTGATTTAGACTAAGTTTAAAAACGATGCAAATAAGTGTGAATGCAAATATTTAAAGTGTAAAACAGTTTATATAAATTGCAAAATTGAGTTAATTTTGCATTGGCAAATTTACCTTCTTATCAAATAGACTTTTAACTGTAATTGATGCAAACATTAACTTCAATAAAGCATATGCTTTTTTTCATCAACAGCTCACTTGAATCCAAATTTACTTCTTTTTATTGATGTACTTTTAAATCTTATTATCAATGTAAATATGCATTAATATTTCATTTATCAATGCATAAATATAATATTGCCAAACACAGGCAAAAGTGAACCAGAGTGCAAATTTACCCTGAACCGGGATTTACACTCCATCGTTTCCAAACGCAGCCTTAGATCACGCACGCAATTTGACATTTCAAGAAACCCCTCTCCCAAATCCCAAAGTCAATCATTATAAAAACATTGTTTCTTAAAAACAGAATTGACAAATGCGATTTTCTTGAAGATTCCATTTATTTACTGATGTAACGTACCTGACACATCAGCAGAAACGGAATGCTTGTGAAACGAACAAGTGCCAAACACCCAACAAATGTAGATGTAGCATTAACATTAAAAAAAAAAAAAAAAAAGTAAACGCAGCAACCACTACCCACATGCAATTTTAGGAGTAGCATTTAAAACCCCTTCTTAATTGGTCACATCACATCATGTGGCACCAAAAATTTTTTCCCTTTTTTTTGCCAGAAGAGGGAAAAAAACTGAAAATAGATGTGGAGATCCTAATTTTCCATTACCAACATATAGCTGTAAACTATTTATCAAAAAATAAATGGCTGTAAATTAAAAAGTTTAAATAATTCTTCACCATCATCTAATTAGTCATTACAGAACTTTGTGCCAGAGTCAGCTACATGAATGCTAAACAACCATTGCATTCCACTAAGAACCTTAAGGGTTCATTAGCAATACTAGATTTCATGTAGGATATGCACCATGAATCTAAATTATTCGCGTAGAAACAAATATAGGTGAGTATCGCATACTGCAGTAAACGTAATATTTGTGTCTGGCTGCATATAATTCCACCATTCATCAGTGTCAGATTTGTAATAGTGAAAAGAAAATACCACAAAGACTTCCTGAAATATGACAGGCATGGTCATCTGCTCATCAATCCAGAATTCAAAGTGCTAGCTTAATCATTGCAGCAGGTTATAGTCCCATTTCTGAGAAGTTCTCACCAATACATTTGTTGTGACATGTTTGATATGGTACCTTGGCAATAAAATTCATCAGATAAAAAATTGACAAAATCCCTTTGAACAAGCAATCTAGCAAGTTCATGTGAAACTTTTGTTAATTATAAGAAATCCATCCACATTTTACAGAAACTTTGAATCAGATCCCATCTCATATCAACTGGGTCTGGTGCATTGAAAGGAGCTAAGGCATACACATACTAACTATCCACATCATAACCTCAATATGCCTTGGATATGGTTACCTGCAGAAATGCCCTTAAATTTGACCTGGTTCTGCATGCTGGTTTCATTAGACACACATAGTAACGACACCTTTTGACAGAACCATGCCTTTGTTCACACTAAACAACCTTTGAAGCCTTTTCTTAAGGCAGTTTCATCCAAATTCCTTCCTATGAAGACAAGCTTGTTTATTCTTTTCTCATCTGGCCCCCATGCTTTGCCTGGGCTGCCGTCCAACATGGAATGCACCCCCTAATATCAGCACAAGAAGAAGACACTAGTAAATAAGTCACACCCCCACAACGATATATAGATAGGTAGATAGATAGATAGATAAATAGATAAAACATAACAGAGAGTGAGAGAGAAAGACCTGAAAAACATAACGCTCATCAGAACCACTCACAGATAAAACCCCTTTCATCCTATACAAATCCTCCCCTTTTTCATCAATTAGCCTCTCAAGCCAATCATCAACCTAGGTTGCACATGACAAATAAAAAATAAATTAATTTGAAGAGTTATATGTTATATTTGCTGAAAAAGAAAAAGAAGTACCCTGTGATCATTATCATAAAAGCTACTTGTCAGAATTTGACATTAATCAATTCCTTTGATTTTGGCGAGTGTTCAAGAATCAGGGACCCACTCTTTAAATTTCATGGATTGTTTTCCTTTTCCTGTCGAGTATTTATATTTTTGCCAGGGATATTTTAATCCCTTTACCATCAATCAAATAAATAGTATATGAGGACCAATTACCCAACTTCACTCAAAATTTCCTTTCTTCTTTCTTTTCTCCTTTTTTTTATTGCTAACAAGAAACTTTATGTTGGGTTTCTGCCCAACACAGACACTGATTCGAGATAGTGTGGTCTCCTAGAGAAGAAATGAGAGAACAGAGAGAGAACAGAGAGGTTTCTGGATTGAATCTTTCATAGCTTTCTTATTACTTTGCCTTGTATTTATAGATGTACAAGTTGGTAGTTGTAACAAATCCAGAATCAAGATTACCACTTATCTCTTGTACAGTTGGATCTTGCCTGGCTGTTTTTACCCCGTGTGCTTTTCTCCTTGAGTATACTTGTTTGATAATTGGTTTATTGGCTCGGACTTGGTTTCTAACACTTTATTACTGTATGAAAAAGAATGAATGATGTACAAGACATGCCATTTGCCAACCATCCCTCTTTGAAGGATAGGCTAGTCCTAGCTGCCTAACCTCAATATCATACATTTTAACTTACATATGACTTAAGGAAGATGGCTAATATTACATTAAAACCTCACCTTTAGAAGGGGGGGGGGACTCACAAATCAACACATTTCCATAAGTCAACTCAGGCCAGCTCTCCAAAATACATGTCTGACTCAGATACCCTTGCACTGAGGACCTAACCATGGGCTTGCACCTTCTTAGCATTTAAACTCCATCATGGATGATGCTCATTCACAATTCCTTGTTTTTCTTTCTCAACATGATTGTCCACCATTTAAAACTTTTTTTTTCTTTTTTTGAAAACTTAAAAGTTGAGAACTTTAAAAGAAAATTAAAAAGAAACTAAAAGTTGAGAATGACATTTTACAAAACTAAGGTGAACAAATTACCTCATCAAGATCCAAAACTCCCTCAGAAACTATACTGACACTGGACACAGCAGAATCATGTGTATGATTATGATGATGTCCCTCATGATGATCTGTTAGAAAAACCATTAAAAGAAAAGAGGACATAAAATTCATGAGAAAAGCCAAGAAAAATATGCTGACTCACTTTAAAGAACAAGAACTGAGTATATCATCACCATCAATTCATTATCCAATCCTTAATAGGGCATTAATGCCAAGAACAAGTAATTCCATAGTCCACCAGTCTGGCAATCAATGTGCACAAAATCATTTCTGAAGTGCCAACGGATCAGGGAGGTTTTGGACCTTTCTTATCAATGAGGTGGACTGTCTAGAAAAGTAAGTATTTGGATTAGATGAAGGAAATTGATAAAAGCATGCCCAAGACCAGCTTGTTCCTTGTGTCAAGGTGGCCCCTATCCAGTGTTGCATGGACTCCAACACTTGAGTCAGAATCTGACATGTGTCCAGGAGTCCAACTTGGTGAACCCCAAAAAGTAGGATTCTTGGACACGTTTCACATAAACAATAGTTTATTATATATTAAATAAATTGTGATTTTTATATTATTTTTAAAATTCATAGAACCATACAAGCATCACAATGTAAATAGTTAAATTACTTTTACAATTGATAAGTTAATATTACAGCCTTTCCCCATTTGCCACATGACCACATTAATGGTATTGATGTTAATTGGAAAAGATTCAATAAACAATGGATCAAAAGCTATGTGTAAATTGGAAAAACATAAGCACTAAGAATGCCCTATTGGACGGGTTAAATGGTTGACCCACTGTTACATAGAAGTATTAAAATGAAGAGTCGTTGCAATGGGCATTTTGGTAAATCTGCTTGATTTGCACTTTAGCTGAGTCCAGCACATATTTTGGAGAGTTGAACACGAGCAAACTTGTGAACACATGTTGATTTGCAAGTTCCCTCCAAAGGTGGGGTGTCCATGCAACACTGCCCTATCCCATTGCTTATTCACAATCTGATGGAACGCCTCAAGTCGAGAGATTATGAAAGACAAAAGCTAACTGAAGGTTTTAAGTTGGCAAAGATTTTACAATGGTTCCTCACCATCAATGTGCAGATAATACCACCACATTCTGGAAGGCCCAGATTATATTATTGAAAGGTATTGAAGTGCACTACAGTAACCTCAAGGCTCAATATCAATCTGAATAATACAATAACAGCCAATTCAACAGTATCAATATGAGGGGTTGAGTTTTTGGTCTAGGGTGATGGGTCTGTTGGAGATCCCCCCTTGGTATACTAGGATGTTCTCTTTGGTGCTAATATAATTGTCTACGGCATTATAGAATCCCATATTCTAGAGGTTTTAATAAAGCTTACTTCCCAGTATAGTATTCCTGGAAACTTTTAGGTGCCCTTTATATATTCATGGACAAGATAACAAAAAACTGATTCTATGACATCCAACGATTTCAGTGACAATAACTTGAAACTCCTTAATCGTTAACACAGTCCTAGAACTAATCCATTTTAAACTCAACAAAGCCTTATGCCACCAGCTATTGGAGTCATAAACACAAATCCTTTCTGACCACTCTACTCATTAGGACTCATATCCCCTAACTGATTGTGAGTCCTCACATCAGTTTTTCTTACTTCAAGCAATGCCCTTTTCAGACACCTCCCCCCCCCCCCACCGAAAGCTCCTTTAGGAACTTTCAACTTACATCAGGTCAGTCCTTACTCCTTACTGATCCAATAGGTGGTCTTCCATGCACATGACCAAATTCTATAGTTTTAAAATAAATTTGATGGACTATGCATTGTTTTCCCAATAATTAATGGTTTAATTTTGTAATATACAAATATTATGTACACTGAGGGAAGCCCATGATATTAGGTCCGCTTTCCTGCCTAACCCACCTGTCTTTTCCTAATATAACTTTACATACAGTTTGGGTTCGTGAGTCACCAGAACATTTCTTACCTACAGATACCTTGTCAAGAAAGTGAATCAGCTAAACAGTTTGCTGGACTCAACCAAGACCACCATTTGCCTTGCTAGTTGCTTGGTTTCCCTTAAAACCTGTCTTTGTTGCCCTGTCCCTTGGCTGCCATACTGTACCCAACCCAACACAATCTTGGAGTCTCCTTCCACCACTAGGTTTCTCATGTTCAATCTTCTACCCAGCGTAAGCCCATGTAAAACAGCCAACTTCTCGGCCCTTGTGGAGTTCCCAAAGCCCATGGGGCCTGAAAACATAGCCACTACCACACCTTGGCAATTCCTACAAAACCCTGAATTGCCTGGGTTGCCCAAGCTACACCCACCAAAATTAAGCTTCATTTCATGTAGCTTTCATTTCTTTTTTAATCATCATTCTAAGCTTTATCCCAACAGTACGGGGTCAGCTACATGAATCCTACTTTGCTATTTTGTTCTGTTTAATGTCATATGCATTGTTAAATAATGAGCACTTAAAACATTTCTTGCTACTTCAACTTCAACCCATGTCTTTTTCAGTCTTCCCCTAGCCCTTCTAGCCCCTGCAACTTGTAACAAATCACTTCTTCTTACAGTTGCTCAAAGTGGTCTTCTGTGCAGGTGACCAAACCATCTTACCTGCCACAACCTCTTGCGATGAAGATTGAGCTACAACCTGCCAGCCTCCTATGATGTCATCCATGGTGAACTGTTCAAAAATTTTCAGAGCTTTAACCCATTGTATTTATTGATATGTCCACACAAAGATGATAATTGATGTTCTTACTAATTCAAAGATAGAAAACTCTTAACACTATGGAATGAATCAGAAGATAGCAAGTTGTTATCATCTAAGCCTAATCCTTATCCCAGCTATCGGCTACATGAATCCTGTTTTTCCATTCCATTCTGTTCAATGCCATATCCATTATTAAATTATGAGCGCTTAAATCATTTCTTACTACTTTGACCTATTTCCTAGATTTCTGCTCAAATACAGTTAAAATTACACACACACACATATATATATTACACAGAATAATTCATAGAGGAATTAAATAATTACCGTGCCCTGCCTCATGGTGCTGAGTTAAGCTATGTGATCCATCTAGCTGAACTTCAGATTCAATTCTGCAAAGTCATACACATTTTAGAAAATGAGAGTCCATATGATATAACTTAAGATACTTCATTGCAATACTGCCTTTCTAACTGCTAGATAAAACAATTGGAAAAAATAGCATGCTTGGAGTAAAGAATAAATAGGCAAATGACCTATCAAGATCATATCCTCCCACACCCAGGACAAAGTCAATGTCAACAGCTCCATATGTAGCTTTCTTAATTTGTGCCATCCCATTGATATGCTGAAAGAATTGAATAGGAAGAACTATCATAAGAAGGCTACTAGGATTGTACATTTGCACTTAGACATATAATGCAATAAATTTCATGTAAAAATGAGAAATTTAACTCAGCCTTCATAAAAAATGTTTAATTAAAGTACAAAAATCAGAAATTCACCTACCTTAATTTTCTTCATCAAGGCTTCTAGCTCAGTCTCATTCACCAAATCTATCTGCAAGAACATGTGACACCAAGAAGAATTCAAAGGATGGTACTAAAGCTTGAAAAGCTACCTTTTTTGCCAAGAACCAGTTATATAAGTTATTAAAAAAAGGATTATCATGAATTACCAATCTTTGCATGCTCACCTTGTTCAAGATTATACGATCTGCATACGCAACTTGCTCAATTGCCTCATTCACAACAAATCTTGGTTTGACTTCATTCAAATGCTGCATGGCATGCTTACAGTCAACCAAAGTAACAACACTATCAAGTTTAACATACCGTGCAACCAACTCATCTGTATAGAATGTTTCAATGACAGGAGCAGGCTTGGCAAGACCTATAAAAAGAAACATAGAAGAATAAGCCAAATATATAAACTCTCAAACCTGCACTGAAAAAGATGCAGTAATTATCTTTCCATCAAGAGAGGGACATATATGACTATGACACAATATTCCCCCGGGATCCCTGAAATTAGTAATCTAAGTTCCAAAAGAGAAAAAATGTAATGGCTAAAGAAAACATCAATGACAAAGAAAAAACTAGAGTTGGATCAATCTATAATACCAATATGGATGACAGAAAAGATGAATCACCCCATGAAATGGGGTCATTACCCAATGTTGGTCCCCAGCTATCTGGGATCTTGGGAGGAGTGAACTGGATACCTAACCTTTGGTATTTTTTGCACAAAGTAGCTATCCTCAGACTTGAAGTAGCACTCATTGCACCAAACAATGACCCACCCCATGAATCTTTACCTAAAATGTTCTGGCCACGAATATGAAAGTGTAGAATGAGGCAGCATAATGTGGGGAGGATGGGTTTCACTAGTTTTTTTATCAATAGACAGGTTTTCACTAATGACAATAAATTTAGTAGCACTTGGCTTTCTGTTAAGGCCACTCAGACCATATGGAACAAAAAAAAAATGAAGAAAAAGATTGGTAAAACATATGCAATCATGATCTTGATGGGAACAAATACCATCATGGTTCTAATACATCTAGGATCATTTATAGCAATAAATTTCATCATATAGGAAAATTTCCAATCGGTACCCTGTACTTTGGCTCGAGTGACAATTTGGTCCCCAAACTTTAAAATGCGACAATCCAGTATCTGAACTTTCAAAATGTGACAATTCAGTACTCAAACTTTCAAAATGTGACAATCCAGTACCTGTCGTTAACCAGTTCGTTAATCAGCCGTTAAGTGACATTTGAAAAGTCAAAAATGCCCTTCGAATGCCATCTAATTCTCTTTATCAACCATCCAAACGTTGACAAAAAACTGAACAGTCCCAAATCCTAGCATCTTCTATTCAAAAACGTTGGCGACTGTTTAGAAGAATCTAGAATTTGGGACTGTTCATTTTATTGTCAATGTTTGGATGGTTGATAAAGAGAATTAGGCATTCTTAAGACATTTTTTACTTTTCAAATGTCACTTAATGGCTGATTAACGGATTGGTTAACGGCAGGTACTGGATTGTCACATTTTGAAAGTCCGGGTACTGGATTGTCACATTTTGAAAATTCGGGTACTGACTTGTCGCATTTTAAAGATTGGGGACCAAATTGTCACTCGAACCAAAGTACAGGGTACTGATCAGGAATTTTCCCCATCATATACTATAACAAACTTCCACCTTCAAAAAGGAGTTATACCTGTTGTTTCTATAACAATATGATCAAATTTGTCTCGCTTTTTCCTAGCCAACTCTAAAAGCATTTTAACCAGATCTCTTCTTACAGTACAACATAGGCAGCCATTGTTGACCATAACAATGTCCTCAGACACAGAGGAATGGCTTGCAACTAATGAACCATCAATGTCTACCTCTCCAAACTGCAAACCAACAACCATCAAATATGAATAAATAGGTCCATGTTTGAAGACAAGAATATAACTATAAGGAAGATTGTTGTTGATATCTGTTTGAGGATAGTGGAGTGATCTCTGTTACATTCAGAGACAATTTATGGTTAACTGTGGGCATGATTGGATTGGGCTGGTCATTGGGAAGCATTGATACCACTCGCTTTGGTATTTTTCTTTAACTTTGATTCTACTATCAAAAAATACATGGGAACAAAAGTAGCATACTGTTTAAAATAAATAATTTAAAAGAGAACATTCACAGCAGTTAAGTTTAATGGAAGAATGATTCAATTCCAAAAAATATATTTTACAATAAAAAATTTCTTTCCAGTCCTTTTTGTTAAGATTATTTGATCATGAAAATTAAGGACTTCACATAATTATGTATTTTAGTCTGTCCATAAAAGGAACATTCTTTTTATCATCCATAAAATGGAACAAAATTTTATAAAGCAGCAATACTCTTATTAATTTAGCAGATTGATAGGCCAACATAAGATCTGCATGCCCATAGAATGGATGTAATCAAGGGGAAGAAATTGAGATGAATGAGTAGAAAAACAAGGGATTCAGATGGTGTAGCTTTATCATGCAAAGACCAATGACAACTTTACTAACAAGTATCAGCCTGGTGCAGATGGGAAGCCTTGGGGAGTGGCTATAGTGGTTTGCAGGTTTGGGTTTGAGAAAAATTAAAGTGAACAAGACATTTCTTGGGGAGCGTCTATAGAGGTTTAGGTTTAATTAAAAAAAAAAAAAAAAAGCTTTATAGAGAAAAGTTATTGTTTGTAAGTATGGAGTGATGAGATTGGAGTAACAATGTGGGATACAAGAGAAGTAAAAGCATTAAGCATCCACTTATGGTGTTTGTGTATGGAAGGGCATCATGTGCTTCTAGGAAGCTTTCCAAAACTTGACTAAATCCAAGGCTGGATAGGAGTCTAGGATACGTTTTTAGGAGGAAATTGTGTGGTGTTGGAAGACCATGTGAACTATGTATTAGACTTTGAGAAAGACTTCGCAATAAACCAATGAATTGAAATCAGAAATTAAAGAGTGATTTCATCATCATCTAAGCATTCTATCTATATGGGATCGGCTAAAACGAAAGAGTGATTTGATGTCCAAAATCCAGAGGATCATTATAATGTTTGTCCCTACTTGATAAGCTTGAAAAATAAGTAAATTCCCTAGGAGAACCAGATGCAAGATGGTGAAAGGAATGTAGTAATGGACAAATTACAACGAAAAATACTTATAAAAAATACAATGAAATCTGTGTACAATGTGCTTATATGTTTCCAGGTGGCCAGATCTGAGTTGAAAGGTATTTGGGGTTAATGCAATCCCACCTAGGGTGAAAGCCTTTGCATGGCTGGTAGCTATGAACAGTGACCTTGCAATGGATCACCTGACGAAAAGAGAATTTCAAGTTTCAAGTTTCAACTACATAATATCTGTTCTTTGTGCAACAGCAATAAAGAATATGCGAGGCACCTTTTCATCACATGTAACCATACCAAATTCATTTGAATCTTTTTCTACTTCTTCCTTATTAGAAATGTACGGAAACCAATAAATCCAACAAGATCTTTGCACTGTGACCGAGAATTCAGGAATGGAAGCTAAGGTACTTTGGAGCTGTAATCCATTTGCTGTAGTTTGGGTCATCTAGAAGGAAGGAAATACAAGAATTTTTTATGACATTCAGAAGAGTCATCAAAAAATGTCCTCAATAGTGGGAAATACAATTCTGGTTTAGATTCTTGTTCATTTGGAATTCACAGATGTCTAAAGAGAAATCTTCAGGTCTTCGTTCTGAGCTGCATGAGAGTTATAATGCATTCAGAAAATTCATAATGTGTTGTTTTATTGAATTGTAATGTTTATGTTGTATGAATCCTTATTGGGCTTGAGGTGTTATTTCATCACCCTACCCAGATTTTATACCTTTGTTTTCTTTTTTAAATAAATCTTTTCTTTCATTTTATTGTAAAAAAATAAATTAGACCCTTTTTCAGTAGATATATAACATTAAATTTCAAAAGAATATGGACAATTTAAATAGTTTCTAGGTTTTCTATGGATGTGTTCACACGTCCTTTTTTTTCATCTTGCCAAGTCGGACTCACAGACAAACGTCAAATTCCGATTCTCATGTCTATGTCCAGGCATGATGCAACGATGGTATAAATGTAAGTGACAGTTAATCAAACAAATCCTCTACTGAAAATGATCGCATGGCATACCTCGTTCTCTATAACAGCGATACGCTTGCCGTGATTAGCAGTTAGAATGTGGTTCAGGAGAGTTGTCTGCCATTGACAATCCAAGTAAAAAACAAAACTGGTAAGTTATATGAAACTCTTATTTGGCCAGTTAATTCAATAAACACCAAAAAACATCATGCAAAGAGAAACCAAAATCCTATGAATTTTTACTTAAGAAGATACAGCGCATAATATTTCCCGTTAAAAGTCGAACCTTTCCTGAACCCAGGAAGCCAGTGATGACAGTGGCGGGAACCCTAGTATCAGCATTCTCGTCGGTCGAAATAGCTTCCGTATTATCGTAACGGGGAATGGAACATCTGACCATTGTCCTTGAATTACAGGGATGAATTCTGTCGGATTTAAGGAAGTGGAATCGCTCCGAAACAAATGAGTGAAGATTTCTGAGGCATTGAGAGGTCGCAGAGTAGGAGAACAACGAGAAGTCAACCAAAGAAGGTCTGAGAATTTGATTTAGGGTTTTAGCTGCTGCTCTTGAGACCAATAATTTGGTAGCCATTTTAGCAAGAAAGAGTTGGGGGAGTGGTAACCACCTGACACTGAACGGAAGACCAGTGAAGTCGACGCCTTAAACCCTAAAAGAGGTTTTAATTGTCTCTATTGCTCTATTTAGTTAGCACCGCGTCATGAGATGGTGTCAATGCTTTGTTTGGTTTGTATCCGGGCCAAGCCCGGATCCTACCATATTCGTTGCTTCTGATCTCGACATATCCCCACTTACCCAGGTGTCCAAAACGGGCTGTTGCCACCCCGGATGCATTTGGACCGAAGTGATTTTCTCTTCGAGTCCAGTAACATTTTGACACATCAACAATATATAAATATATTTTTTTAAGGAAAATTGTCTAAAACTCAGTTCACTTTTAAGCATTTCTATTAAACAATTCACCATAACTTTTGAAAACGTCCGGAAATCCCATGTTTGTAAATTTTTATTTTTCAAAAGCAAAGTTTTTAAAGACTAAAAGTGGAGGTGAAGCGGTTAGATGTCAAAAGAGGCGAGGCACAAGTCTCAAATCGGTTTGAGGCGTAAGCCTCAAGCTAAAAATTAAAAATTATAAACATAGTTCATAATTAACAAAAAAACACAAAAAGAAACAAATATTTTAAATTTTATATAATTATGTGTGACTTATTTAATGTATAATAGTCCAACAACCATTAATTATATGTTCAATCTTTTTTCAAGGTTACTCTTATGAAATATAAACATAGAAAAAAGCAATGTTATAATAAAAATAACTAGTGACTACCAATTACCATAAAGAATTTAATACCACAATACAAATTCTAAACTATCAAAGAAAAAAAAAAAAAAGATGGGACCAAGAACATACTTGACACAATTCAATAGCTAACTTACAAAATATGAATCTTTGAAGTTCAAAATTCCAAATTCCTATAAAAAATACAATAGATTTTTTTGAAGTGTATTTCCTATAATAAATAGACTTCCTAGCAATAGAACTAGGCAAAAAAAAAATTAAAATCTTAAACTAGTAGACACAATTTCATTAAAATTTAAAAGCACCAACCAACAAGTAAGGCATATCGAAATGTTCATCTAGTTATGAAAATTTAACCAGAATTTATTTATATTAGTTAAGCAAGTTTTCCAATTCCCAAATGAACCAAAAATATTACCAATACTTCAATTAAAATTCTAGTTTCAAGGCTTCAAGCCTAATTAAAGATGAAAACCTAGCTTCAACTATGAAATCTATATATATACACTAAAGTAGAGTTTGCCATGTCAGCAATCCTCTCCTTGCTCCGTTACCCAAATCTAGCAATTCTAGAGGGGGTGCAAGATTCCCTCTAGAAGCATTAGGAGTTGCCACCTAACATGGCTTATCTCCTTTTTTCCTCTCCTTTTTATTACGAGACCCCCCCTACTTTCTCATAAATTATCTCTATCTCTCACTAATTCCTATTTATCTCCTAAATTATCTATAATTCTTATTTATCCTCTCCCCCACTTTTCATCTATATTTATCTAAATCAAGTTTCAATTAAAAAATTTAACAATTATTTAAATATTATAATGAGATTGTATAATAACTTTAAAATATTTATTAAAAACACAAAAAATAATTATAATAGGTTTAATAATGAAATTATGTAATAACAATATAAATTGTAATTTTATGGATTATTCAACTTAATAACTAAATAATATTTTAAAAACATAAATAAAAATTATTTAAATAACAAAATATTTAAAATTACATAATAACTTTAAAGAAATAAAATTTAAATAACAAAAAAGATTAAATATTTTACATTTTATTTAAATATTTAACGTAATTAAATTTTAAATAGTTAAATAATGAAATTATTTAATAAATTAAAAAAAAACTTAAGAGTAGAATAATAATTATAATAGATTTCATAACTTTTGAATTAATAATAATTTTATATTTACAAAATTAAAAACGAAATTATGTAACAATAGTATAAATTATAATTTCATGGATTATTAAATTTAATGAATAATTAATATTTTAAAATTTTAAATAATGGTATTATTTAAATAATAAAATAATATTATAAACAACTAATTTTTAAATACTTTAAATATCAAAATATTAATAACTAAATCATATCTTATATATTATTTCAAAGACAAAAAATAAATTAGATAACAAAATTATGTTTTAACTTTAAAAAATTATCAAAAGCACATAAGTAATTATAAATAGTGGGGCCCCATGTGAGGCATGGGATGTGGCACCCCTCCCTATCCCTCGCCCTCGTAGTCAAGACACTCTACCCCATCCCCACCTCATCCCCGGTGGCAGGGCAAGTTGGAGGCAAGGCACCCATTCCCGTCAAAGATGGGAGAATCCCCAAACTTTTCCCACCTCGAGGTAACCACCTAAAAATAATCTAATTTGGGGATATTTTACAAATAGGATTATGAGAATTTGGGGTGTTTTAGGAATTGGGGGGTATTTTATAAATGGAATTGTAGGATCCTAGGATTACAAGAATATGAGGAAAAACTTAGTCATATTTTAAAATTCAATATTAAATCTACTAATAGTTTACTAATCTACCAATGGGTTTAGGGAATTATATGCAAACTCATCCCTTCCCCGTCCCTAATTTGGAGCAAAAATATTTTACTCATCCCTATTTAAGATTTGAGAAAACTTGCCCTGTTTGAGGTGGGTCAAGGTATTATTTATGTTTTATATATTATTTTTTAATAATCATTTATGTTTTATATATTATTTTTTAATAATCATTTATGTTTTATATGCTATTTTAAATAATTTTTAAATGTTTTCAATCTAAAAGCTTGAATATTAAATCATATTTTAAACATTATTTAAAAACAAAAAATAGATTAAATAACAAAATTCTGTAGTAATTTTAATAAGAATATAAAATATAAATAAATGAAAAAATAAATATTATTGAAATAGTAGAAGTAGATTAAATAATTTAAAAGTATTAAAGTTTTTTATTAGTTATTTATTGTATTTTCATTATAAATATATTTTCATCAATTGTGTATTTTTTTTATAAATTTTAAATAATTATTGGAGATTAAACTAATGTTATTTGTTAGAGATTAGACTATTAATTTAGCTGAAAGTAGGAGTGTTCACTAGGCAATTCAGTTTAGTTGGAGATTGTTTGCCTAGCCAAACTGATCTAGTCAGGTTAGGGAGTTGGTTACTTGAAACTGACCAACCATTAGCAAAACCTAAACATTGGTTAATTAATTAATGTTTAGCATAATTTACATTAATCATTATAATTTAATAAATCTTCATTAAAATTTTACAACAATTATTTATTCATAAAAGATATTACTAGTTAGCGTAATTTACTAATTTCTATAAAATTAATAATTATAGTTAACAATTATCAAACAATTCAAGGAAACTCTTCAACTAATAATCCATACTTTTTGAAATAAATAATAATTAAAAAATAGGAAATTAATCTACAAAAAAATTTCTCCAAAACTATTTAAATAATAGTCCATTATTATTATTCAACTAAATAATTATTAAAACTTTAGGACAATTAAATTAGAAAATTAATCTATCAGAATTTGTTTCATATTTATTTAAATAACAATCCATTATTATTATTTTAATAAATAATTTATGAAAATTATTAAATCTATCCCCACCGGGCTAGGCTACATGGTTGACTTCAATCATACTTGGTTTTACATTAATCAACAACAAATGATTTACTTTTAATTAAAATTCATGTGATTTACTATAATTACATTAAAATACTATAATTACATCACTTTGATTAATAGTAAATAATTTAGGCTCAAAAAGTAAAAAATTTACATTAATTTATTGTTATTGTAAATAACTAATTTACTATACATCTTTGCTAATTAACAACAATTTTAATAATTTTTGGAAATTATCATAAAATATTGTAATTTAATTTACTATTTGTTAATTAGTTATAGAAAATTATTAGAATTGTAGGGGTAGCAATTTTCCCTGTAAAACTAATGCCCTACCCTACCCCACCCGAACAAGGCAAGTTTTATCGAATTTTAAATAGGGATGGGAAAGAGACACGGTGGGGACGGGGAAAATATTTTTGCTCTGGTGGGGTTTGCATATAATTCCCCAAACCCGGTTGTAAATTACTAAAATATCAGTAGATTTAATATTGATTTTTAAAATTTCTCTAAGTTTTCCATATATTCTTATAATCGTAGGATCCCATGACTCCATTTATAAAATACCCCCAAATTGTCATAATTGAATTCCTAAAATACCCCCAAATTCCCATAGTCTTTTTTGTAAAATATCCACAAATTAGATTATTTTTAGGTGGTTGCCTCGGGTATGGAAAATTTGAGGATTCATCCCCGATAGGAAATGGGTGCCTCACCTCGAACTTGCCCCACCACCAAGGACGGGGTGGGGATGGGTTGAGTGTCTTCACTACGAGGGCGAGGGACAGGGAGGAGTGCCCCCATCCCGTGCACTGCACGAGGCCCCGCTAGTCAAAATTTAAAATCCTATTTTCTAAATTTTTAATGTTCAATCAAATTACATCCATTTCTTTTTAAGCAAGTCCGTTATCACTAAAAGCATGGTTTTGAACTCCATGCATTTTTTTTATTCATGTGACAATTAATAAAAAAAAGGCATACAAAATAACCATAGCCACAACTTTAATGAGAAAAAAATATTAGTCCAATTCCTTTTCATGATTATAATTAGTCTAATTCTTGATGTAAATTCAATGAGAAAAAAAATCAAAAAAGAATAAGGAAGAGAGAAGAGAGAGAAGATAGAAGAGAGAGATGAGAGAAAGAGTGTGGGTTGACTTGAGTTGCCGCCCCACTCAACTATTTACATTAACATCAAATTATAAGATTGCAATTACACTATTGCCCCTACTACTTGCATAAGCAAATGACTAACACAACTAAGATTGCTAACAACAACCTAATAAGAAATATAAAGTAAGAAATAACTAAAAACAGCTATGGGGACCACAATAAATAAAATAACTAACTCTAATGCAAAAGTACTAATTATTGCTCTACATCTCTACACTCCCTCTCAAATTGAGAATAGATATTTATCATTCCCAACTTGCATAAATCT